AAGGTGTTTGCCGCCGCCACCACCGAGCTTCTTATTTTTTAAAATGTTTTTTGAGATGAGGTCTTCAAAATGTAGCACAAACTTATTTCTCTGGGGAAAATGTCATACTGTTTTGGTCCAAATCTCTTCCAAATATGGTATCCAAACAGTAATTTAGTTCTATTAAATGATAGTCCTTAATTTGTTTGATTTCTTTTTTTTTTAACAAATTATTTATTTGTATTTTATGTGCATTGGTGTTTTGCCTGCATGTGTGTCTGTGTGAGGATGTCAGAGCCCTGGAACTGGAACTACAGACAGTTGTGAGCTGCCGTGTGGGTGCTGGGAATTGACCCCAGGTCTTTTGGGAGAGCAGTCAGTGTTCTTAACTGCAGAGCCATCTCTCCAGCCCAGTTTGTTTGATTTCTTGATCTTGTTTGTATAGCCTAATTGCAAATTCTTTGAAAGTTTGATTTCTTGATCTTGTTTGTATAGCCTAATTGCAAATTCTTTGAAAGCCCAATCGTGGTGTATAAATAGCCAAACAGCTATTGTTTTCCCTTATCTTTCAGTTTCATGATTACATATATAGTATAAGCTTACAAACACATCTGTGCAACAGAGCAACGGACGTTTGACTCATTTAACAACCTCTGGAGGCTTTTGAACTAAATATTTTGTCATTTGTTTTCTAGCTAACTACACTGACTGAAGAAGAGAAAGCTGTGACAGAGCAATTAAAACCTCACATGCCAGACTTATAAAGACATGGGATTTTAAAACGGACTCTAATGGAGAAAAGATCAATTCCAAAGAGATTCAGCAAGATGTCTTGTTCATGCTTGATGTCATTAATCCATGGGGGGTGGGGAGGCTGATGAGGAAGATTGAGATTTTCCTTGAGTGTCAGGATCGTGATGCTTTTCATAGGAGAGGAAATTGTTCGAAGGGTAGATATCATATGACTAAAAGCCAAAAAGGATGGAATGGGAAGAAGATTGAAATACTGATGCCCATAGTTAGTTTTGTGGGTTCAGGTAATGAAATCCCTTAATACTATTTTAATCTGTTTTCTTTTTTATAGTTGGGATAATTTTAGACACTTTGGGATTTTGTAAAAGAATATTTATGTACATTTCAATCAGTGTGTGAATGGAGAAAATACTTGTATATTATAATTATTCAGGTGTTGTTTGTTTACTTTTTTGAGACAAGCTCTCACTATGTAGCTCTGGCTGGCCTTGGGGCTCACTATGTAGACTAGACTGGCATGAATCCTAGAGATGCCTGCTCCTGCCTCCTGAGTACTGGGAATAAAGGCGTACACTGCCACACTGGGCACTGTTTCGTTCTCCCTCTCTCTTTTTGAGACAAGGCCTTATGTATCCCAGGCTGGCTTCCGAATTGGTGTTGCCAAGGATAACCTTTTACTTTGCTACTTCCAGAGTGCTCACTAGAGCCTGAGCATGCTAGGCTAGCTCTGTACCAACCGGGCTACATCTCCAACCCTGCAATTTCTTCTTTGAAAATGTACATTATACACGATAGCACATTTTTAGTTGTGTGTCTCTGATGTCCAGTATTTCCCTAACTAATATAATTCATAGACTGTTTTGTGAAAACTCTCCTTTTGTTTTTTTCCTTCCCATTGTTTGCTAATAATAAATGAGCTTGTTTTCAAATGCTGTTTTAGACTGTCCATCTAGTATTGCAGTAATGTTTGTTATCTATCTTTCAGTCTAATTTTGTAGTTGTTCATTCTATATGAAAGGTAAAACACTGAAATCTCTGACTTATTTGCTACTATCTATTGTGTGTATGTGTGTGTGTAAATCAATTTCACTATATTTTTATGGTTCTTGAACCTAGGATGTCGCATATACTTGGGATGCAGTCTACCACTGAGTTATAGCTCTAAATCTCCTTATGTATTTACTTTTGAACAGAGTCCCACTTTGTCCAGACTTGCCTAGGGTATCTTGGTGAGCTGGCTGCCTCAGCTCTTTAATGGTGGGATTACTGGAAGGAGAAACCATGCCCAATCATTTTTTTTGAGTCAGAATTTTACTACATAGCCCTGGTAGTCTGAAATGTGTTATGTAGACCAGGCAGGCCAAGAACTCATAGATCCCCTGCTTCTGCTCTGAGTTACTGCTCTATTACTGTAGTGTTTTTCCTTTTTAATTTATAATAGTACTTAAGATATTTAGAAACACAGGTATAATGCATATTTTCCAGAAATAATCTGCAGTCAATTTTTCTTTTCTATATGTATTCACATTGAATTTTATAAAACAAAAAAGGTCAATAATCATACATTGTATTGTAGCTGTATATAGTTTTGACATTTAAATATATTTTTTCATGACATACACCATATATTCAATCTTCTTTTAAACATTTATAAAACTACTGTATGTATGGGCTGGAGAGATGGCTCAGAGGTTAAGAGCACTGGCTGTTCTTCCAGAGGTTCTGAGTTCAATTCCCAGCAACTGCATGATGGTTCACAGTCATCTGTAATGAAATCTGGTGCTCTCTTCTGGCCTGCAGGGATGCAGGCAGAACACTGTATGCATAATAAATAAATGTTTAAAAAAATAAAAATAAGGCCGGGCGGTGGTGGCGCACGCCTTTAATCCCAGCACTCGGGAGGCAGAGCCAGGCGGATCTCTGTGAGTTCGAGGCCAGCCTGGACTACCAAGTGAATTCCAGGAAAGGCGCAAAGCTACACAGAGAAACCCTGTCTCGAAAAACCAAAAAAAAAAAAAAACAAAAAAACTACTGTATGGCTATACCATGATTTTGCTCAGATTTTTTTTTTTTTCCGAGACAGGGTTTCACTGTAGCCATTGCTCAGTTTCTTACTGACAATCTGTATAGTTATAAATTACAAAAGCAATAGCATTTTGGGAGATGTGTCTTGTGGAGAAGGGCAGAGCAATGTCAGCCCCTAAGTGCTGCCCCAGTTTTTTTGGTTTTAAGATATAGCCCTGCCTGGCTTCATGCAGATTCTCAATCTTCTGCCTCAAGGTCCCAAGTGCTAGCAGACTTCCTAATCTAGGTTCTGACAAATGACCTTTAACTTGGCCAACTACCAATTTCTTTTTTTTTTTTTTTTTCTTCGAGACAGGGTTTCTCTGTGTAGCTTTGCGCCTTTCCTGGGACTCACTTGGTAGCCCAGGCTGGCCTTGAACTCACAGAGATCCGCCTGGCTCTGCCTCCCGAGTGCTGGGATTAAAGGCGTGCGCCACCACCGCCCGGCGCCCAATTTCTTTTTTGCCCAAGTTAACCACAATCTGACTGTACTTGGAATCAAAGACCCCTAATGAGTTGCAGATTTCTCTAATGTTTTATTTTTACGAACTATCCTGATAACTATTAGTTCCTTAAACATTTTGGGTTGTTAGGCAAATATATCATAATCTGTTTTTAATGTGTATCATATAGTGTTGTCATCTGATATACTTAACGGCAAGGATTTCTCCATATTTTGAGAATCCCAAGTGCCATACTGTTTCCCACAATCAACTTCTTTTTGATTGATTTTTGAGTTTGAATATGGAGCCCTAGCTGGCTTGGAACTCACTATGTAGATCAGGCTAGTCTTGAACACCTAGAGCTCTGACTGTTCTGCCTAGTCATTAAAGGCCACGATTCAAGGATAAAGGCATGCACCAACACACCAGGCCCCTACAATTTTTTGAGGTAAAATTTCAACAACAAAATTAATTTTCAAATGTAAACGGACTGTGGTGGCACACCTTTGTAATATTCCAGCATGGGGAAGGTGGAGGCAGGAGTTCAAGGCCAGCATCTGCTACAAAGCAAGTTTCAGATTAGTGCATGCCACATGAGACCCTACATGAGAACAAAAACAGAAAAGGTACAATTGAGGACATGTTAATAGAAATAATTGTGCAGCTATCAACCTGCATCTAGTTCCAAGACCATAAACGATTTGAAGTGAAAGCATTTTCGGCCCCTGCTTAATTTTCTTAAATTGTGTGTGTGTATAGATTATTTTGGGTTATGGTCACATGCGTGCACATGATCTCTGGTTTCTGAGGTGGCTGGAAGAACATGTCTGATCTGCTGGAGCTGGAGTTAAAGCCTGTGAGTCCAAAGGTGAGATTAGAAACTCTGATCCTCCCCAAGAGCAGCAAGTGCTCTTAACCTCTGGGCCATCTGTCTAGCCTCTGTAAATCTTGTTTATAGTTCATGTGATTTAAAAAATTGTTGCTAACCACTAAAAGTTTCTAGATTATTCTCTAGATTGGAGTTTGTAAATAACTATGTAATGAACTCAAAAGAAATAGTAAGATTTAAGAATTTGACCTACACCTATTGTCTCACACCCTCAATTATTAGAGGCGATAGCCTAGGAAAGCTGAATACAGTCTTTTTATGTTAGTCCCAGGCAGCAGAAACAACTCGCAGCAAGAAAGGAGTAGTGGGTGGGATGTGGGTCCAGTCATTTCCCCAAAATGAGCCAGCAGACCTGGTAGCTGGCCTGCAATCCTATATATTCAGTCCCACACCAGCTCCAGACACCTTGTTTCGCAATAAAAAATAAGCCAAAACAAAAATCGCCTGTCCATCACAATCGGAGCTTTCGAATAGAGGAAACGAAGTCTAAGAAAAAAAAATACTTGGAAGTTTGCTTTTCCTCTCCGGCTGAAAACAAACACCCTACCCATGAGTCCGCGACTCCAGGGTCTCCTCAAGTGAGCCAAAGACCACTGAGACCCGCACCGAGGGAACCTGAGAGCGCAGATAAATCTCCCGGTCCCTAACGCTTGGGGGCGTGGCTCCCAACTAAGGACCACGAGCACACGAGGTGGCCGCAGTCTTCGGGCGGTAAAATCTGAGAGTCCCGGGGCCTCGCGCCGTCTCCAGGCACGCCTCCGCGGAGCACGGCCTCCCCAAGTCTCGTGTGCTGCGCGCACCGCGGGAACCGGGGCCCGCCTCTCCTCTCCCGCCCCGCCCCGCCCCTCCCGCCGACTGCGCGTGCGCGCCGCGCTTGCCCGGCTGCCGCGCCTCTAGCTGCCCCTGGTTACCGTTGGTGTTTGCGAATTCTCCGCAACGCCGGTTTGGCCGCGGACCCGGCCCGCGGCGGTTCCACACGCGCGCGCCGCCGTCACGTGGGCCGAGGCTTCCCAGGCGGACACTGGCCGGTGGCTGAGGCGGGAGGAAGGCGCTGCGGCTACCGCTAGCCCTCCCTCGCCGCCCCAGGGCTGGCGCGCGGATAAAAATGGCGAAATGGGGGGTAGCCGGCGGGGAACCTGACGGGATGGGGCACGGAGGTGGCACTGTTGTGGGAGCCTGCTGAGGTGGGCGCAGTTGACCTGGCCACCTCGGGCCGGCGGCGGACAGCGCGGACCACGGACTCCGAGGGTCGCCGAGGGCCCCGCCGAGAGCCGGAGGCAATGGACGAGCAGAGTGTGGAGGTGAGGGGCGTTGCGGAGGGTGGTGGCCGGGCTCCCCTCCATCGCGGAGCCCTTTCCATCCGGGGCGCCATGCTCTCGCCTTCCCTGTGGGAGGCAGCCTCTGCTGGGCGCCAAGAGGGAGGCTGGCCCTGTGGTTCTGCTGCCCTCAGGCTGCCAGGTGCTGAAGCTGTTCCGCAGTCAGGTGCTGAGAGTTTGCAGCGATGCCTTGGCACCTCGGCTCGTCTCGGTTTGCAGGTGGAGCCTCTCCAGAGCAAAATTGCAAATTCATCGGAAGGACTTGCCCCGCTTTCTCGCCACGACTTGCTCAGAATGATTAAACATTTTTCACCCTCAGCGGTACATTTTGTAGGATACACACACACCTCTCCAATACTCTACTGTCTTGATGGCTGGTTTCCAACACTGATTCTTATGACTACATGGTTGGGATATGTCTATAAAGGCTAGAAGCATCAAAAATGATTGCCTTTTGGGGATACAACTATGCTATGTAGTAATAATTAAAATTTGAACCTTTCAGTCACTAAAATACTATATAATTTTGCTTATAAAAGTAAGGGGGTCGGACATTGGTGGCGCATGGCTTTAGTCCCAGCACTTGGGAAGTAGAAGCAAGCGGATCTCTGTGAGTTCGAGGCCAGCCTGGTCTGCACACTTGAGTTCCAGGAGAGCCAAGGACAGCTAAGGCTACACAGAGAAAACCCTGTCTCAAGAAAAAAAAGGGCGGGGCGGCGGGGGAGCGTAACTTACTGAGCATTGCACTTGAAATTAACCCAATTCACCCAATTGTTTTTTTTTTTTTTTCTTCCCAGAGCCATTTAGAGTCCACATCTCTCAGGTTCCGGCTTGCAGTCATGATTAGTATCATGAGTAATTTTCTACTTAATTGCTTTTGTGAAAGTTGTATAAAGGTTTTGTAAACTTTTCTTGATTTTAGGAGGGCTTAATTCTTATGGGATGGAGTAAAAACAAACGTTGTACTGCAAAAATAAACTTAAAAATACAGTAACAATGTATTTAGCAGTAATTTTAGTTCTTTTAAGAATTTTAACTTGCCAATTACTTTGAAGATAGATTCCTCTGAAACTTGTAAAGAAGAATGGTGTTGTGATTTTTTTTTCTGTTTACAACCTTTTAAAAAACTTTTCTGTTTACATTTTTTTTATTGTTCACTAGATGTCATAGAAATGACACTAAAATTTTTAGTGGATGCAGATTCTCACATAATTAGTTGATTCCATCAGGACAGAAATTCAGATTCTAAATTAGTTTCTCTTTGGGCCAGAATACTTTGCCACCAGCCTAAATATTTTTACAAATATTTATTTATTTTGAGTGTGCGTAGATATGCATTCATTGATGTATGTGCTCATGTGGCGATCAGGACAACTTAGAGTCAATTCTCCTATATTGGGGTGCCTGGGATGAAATTCAGATCTTCGGGCTTGGTGGTAGGAGCCTTTGCCTGCCAAGCCACCTCGATAGCTCCTCTGTATCTTTAAAAATTTCCTCTTGTTTGGATGTCATGGCACACACCTTTAATTCCAGCCCTTGGGAGGCAGAGGCAGGCGGATCTCTGTTTTCTAGGCCAAGATGGTGAGCATAGGGAGTTTTCAGGCCATCCAGAGCTATGTAGTGAGACTCTCTGTCTCTTAAAAAACAAAAACAAAAACAAAAACAAATTCCCTCTTGTAATTACAGAAGCCATCCATCTCCTTTGTGGAGAAGTGAAAAGTTGTCATTGTGTATTTAGGCATGGAGTCTTCCTTTATTTCTGTTACACGCACACCTCTTTTTGTACTATTAAGTATTTGTACATGCTATATGTGTAATTGCCATAATTAACCTAATGTACCCCAGTGAAAGTATTCCTATATAAAATATATGTTTGTGTTTCGTTTTTCTTTTTTCTTTTTGGTTTTTCGAGACAGTGTTTCTCCATGTAGTTTTGGTGCCTTTCCTGGAACTCACTCTGTAGCCCAGGCTGGCCTGGAACTCACAGAGATCCTCCTGCCTCTGCCTCCCAAGTGCTGGGATTAAAGGCATGCGCCACAGCCGCTTGGCACATTTTGTTTTTCTTACTTTGTGTGTGTGTGTGCGTGCACGTGCTTCAGGGTGCAGGTGTGTGTGTGTGTTTATGGTGCACAGATGGAGGTCAGAGGAGACCCATTAGTGATTACATCCCACCTTTAGTTTGAGACTGGGTCTCATTGGCTTGGAACTTCACCAGTTAGCCAGGCTAGCTGGCATTGAACTTCCAGGGATCTGCCTGTCTCTGCCTTCTGTCTTGCCATAGCTAGGATGGCATGTACCACCACCACACTGGATTGTACCCTGATTCAGGGGATCCTAGATTCTTATGTTTTCAAGGCAAGCACTTCACTGACTTACCCACTTTCTTAGTCCATATGTTTTTCTAGAACCATCATCAAGCTTATTAAAAAACAAGCATGTTTTCTAGATGTTCTGACTCACCAAAGTTCTGATAGGGAGTATAGTTAAAACTGAGGCATTATCACCCCCAAGTAAGTGTAAATGCTGAGTGAATTTTCTTTCTCTTTTCTTTTTTTTCTTTTTCTTAAGACAGCATCTCACTGAGTAGCCCAGGGATACCCGGAACTCAATGTGTATAGTCTCAGACTGGCAGAGATCCAATTGCTACTGCCTCCTGAATGCTGGGATTAAAGTTGTGCACCACTATGCCTGGCCTTGATTGAAGTCTTTTTATAATGCTCTTTACTCTTGACTTAGCGTAATGTGGGCACCTGACGTCTTTTGTTTTCAGAGCATTGCTGAGGTTTTCCGATGTTTCATTTGTATGGAGAAATTGCGGGATGCTCGGCTGTGTCCTCACTGCTCCAAGCTTTGTTGTTTCAGCTGCATCAGGGTAAGTTGTATTTCTTTCTATGTGCGTTCAGTTCTTATTGTTAACTGTTTTGCTTTGTTTTTGAGACAGGTCTTACAGTGAGTATAGCTCTGGTTGGTCTGGAATTCACTATGTAGACTAGGTTGACCTCAAATTCAGAGGTTCACCTGCCTCTCTCCTGAATGCTGGGAATAAAAGAGAGCGCTATCATGCTTTGTGTATTTGATTTATATATGCTGTACTGTAAGTATTAACCATGTCCCTTTTTCTTATTGTGTTTGCGTCCCTTTAAAATGTTTTTTAATAAATGTTTCTCAATAGAGCATCATTTTTTAAATGTCAATTGTGTGTATATGTGTGTTACTTGCATATATGTCTGTGTATTATGTGTGTGCTGTGCTCTTGGAATCCAGGAGAGGATATTAGATTTCTAGGGAGCAGAATTACAGAGAGTTGTGAGCTGCCATGTAGGTGGTAGAGATTGAACCCAGTGGATCGTCCTCTGGAAGGGCAGCCAATACTCTGAGCCACTGAACCATTACTCTAGCCCAATAGCACCAGGTGTTTTTTTTTGAGGGGTGGGGAGGAGTGTTTCGAGATGAGGTTTCTTTGTGTAGCCCTGGCTGTCCTGGAACTCAGTCTGTAGACCAGGCTGGCCTCCAACTCAGAGATCTACCTGCCTCTGCCTCTAAAGTGATTAAAGGCATGCGCCACCAATTTGTATTGCTTAAGTATTTTAGAGATGAATAAATAGTAAGTTATGACATCTAAGAAATGTTCAAAGAAAGTGAGTATCTCTCGAAGCAAAGCTTGCTGTAATTTTAACTTATTTGCACTTTTAAAACGTACTACACTTATTTTTTGACAAGTCTCTCTTCTCTTTACATAGGCCAGGCTAGCCTGGAACTTGATACATAGACCACACTGACCTTGAACTCACATAGATCTGCCTGCTTAATCCCAGCACTCAGGAGGCAGAGGAAGGAGGATTTCTGAGTTGGAGGCCAGTGTGGTCTACTGAGTGAGTTCCAGGGCAGCCAGAATACACAGAGAAACCCTGTCTACAAACAAACAAACAAACAAACAAAAACCCAAAACAATTTTTTTCTCTATTTTCTTATTTTCCTATAAAGGACATAATAGGGCTGAAAAGATAGCTTAGCAAGTCAAGTACTTGCTTCCAAGTACTTGTGTGGTGATCTGAGGTCAGTTCCACAGCAGAAGAAGAGGGCCGACTAGTTCAGGGTGTCCTGACCTTCACAAGCACACAAGGAAAAAGAAAAATAGAGAAAAATGTCCCCTTGTCAAGAGTAGTTTCTGTAACACTTAAACGATTTTCTTCTAGTCACAGGACTGGCAAATATTGGAGCTGGAGTAGAATCCAGTGAGTCTGTTTTAGAGCCTGCATTGCTACTAGTATGTGCAGGTCTAGGTTACATATGAAACTAGTTCTCACCTTGATTAAGCGGGAAATGTAATCTTTATAAGTGTTGTTTCCTTAGCTATAGCATTTAGATGTGTAATCTGCCTCATGACTAGTTGGGAAATAAATGAAACAAGCCAAAAGATAATTGAAAAAATAGAAAATATTATCCACTTGTGAAGTTTTATTCTAGTAGTTTATCACCCAGTGTCCCTGGTAGTTTACCTTATGAAACCACAGCTACAGAGATTAATTAGTTTCCATCACTATGGTGAATACTTAGTGGAGTCTATCCAGACTGGATTTCTTTGATGAAGGGTTTGAGAGTGCTTGAAAGTTTTGCAAGTGCATGTGACCTCTGGTGATTGTGTTGTACCTGGTTGATTGTTTCTTTGTTATCTGTTCCTTTCCTTCCTTTCTAGATGCATTTACTTACTGGGAGAAATTAGATTTACTTTTGCAGCTCTAGCTATCATCTATATGTGGGTCCTGCATCTAGTCCTTTAGCATTGGTTTTATTTATTGTGTGTGGTGGTGGTGTTTAAACCCAGGTCCTTGTATATGGTGACCAGCAAGCACTTTACCACTGAGCAATGTTTTTAGCACAGTATTGACTTTTAGATGTCTTACTTCATTTCCTTCCAGAATCTTGAACTTTACTCAAGATAAATTGTTCATGTTATTTTTTCAAACTGACCCTGATGTCTTTTGTTTTGCCTATCATTCAGACTGGAAACCTTGGACAGCAGTGATTTTTATGTCAGTTACTGTTAGTATCCTTTGTATCTGTCCTACAGCTTTCCATTAACATTTGGGAGAGAGAAGTATATCCATTCATCTATAGATGTTTATTTTCTCTTTCTTTTCTTTTTCTTTCTTTCTTTCTTTCTTTCTTTCTTTCTTTCTTTCTTTCTTTCTTTCTTTCTTTCTTTCTTTTTTTTCTTCCTTTTTTGTTTTGTTTTTTTGAGACAGAGTTTCTCTGTAGCCCAGGCTGTCTTGAAACTCGCTCTGTAGACCATGCTGGCTTCGATCTCACAGAGATCTGCCGGCCTCTGCTTCCTGAGTGCTGGGATTAAAGGCGTGCACCACCACTGGCGAGCTCTTTCTTTGCCTTAAGTCCTTGCTTATCTCTAGTTCACTTTATATCCTTTTACCATATTACTGTCCCCATAAGTGTCATTTTCTCTGTCAGAAGCCTTGGAAAGTTGAAGGGTAATTGCAGAATATTAGCCTTGTGTTCTGGCTCTCTGGATCTGATCCCAACCTTTTTTTCACTGTGTCATCACCCTACTCCAGAACCTGGGCTAGCCTCAGACTCCGTCTTCTTGCCTCTACCTCACCTCCTAAGTTCTAGGATTGTAGGCAGATATTCTTACACAGGATTATCTTGACTTTTTTTTTTTTTTTTTTTTAATAATTTTTGTATATGTGTGCTCACAGGTATGTGGAGATCAGAGTCAACTTTGGAAGTTGGTTTACCGTGTTGAGGCTGGTTATCTTTCATTTTTGTTGCTATGATCCAGGCTAGCTGGCCTGAAAGCTTCTGGGCAATTGTCTCATCTATGCCTCCTATCTTCCCATAGGAGTGCTGGGATTACATAGTCACAACCCCACATTCAGACTTTTACATGGGTTCCAGAGGGTCAGCTCTGGTCATCCAGCTTGTGTGGCTCATGGTTTACCTCCTAAGCCATCTCCCTGGCCCCTATCCTGGTCCCTATAAATGAATGTAATATTCATTTATAGCTATTAGTTGCTTGCCTTTTTGACATGATACATTGACTTCCCTTGTATGTATGTGAATATAAGTGCTATGAAGAAAAATAAAAATAAATAGGGTTTCAAAATTGGCATTTTGTTAGCCATTTTAAATATGGTAGTCTGGGAAGTTCTGAGGAAATAATATTACAAAAGCGATCTAAATGAAATGTGAGAGGAAATTATGCAAATATCTGGGGTAAGAAATCCCAGACAAAAAAGTTAGAAAGGACAAAGAACAGTCAGCAATACTGTTGATGTGTTGAGAAAGAGTCCAAAAGCTGCTATGACTAGAGCAGGGTAGACTGTGAGAGGGTTAGGGACAAACTTAGAGAGAAAACAAAGCCGGGGGGGGGGGGGGGGGGGGGGGGGGGGGGGGGGATTTGGATTTTGTTTTTGTTTTTTGAGTCAAGGTTTCTCTCTTAAACCCTGGCTCTCCTGGAATTGGCTCTTTAGACCAAGTAAGCCTCAAACTCAAGAGAGTTCCACCTGCCTCTGCCTCCATGTATAGGGATATTACTTATCCATCAATTCAGTATAACTGATTCTTCTCTTTGGCTGTGAAATATAAGGTAAAAACACCTCAAGTATTGGAGAAGGGATGTTTTGTAGACAAAGAATTTCCTGTGTGATAGGGCATGGAGGGACCACATAGGTAAATACACAAATAATGATTCTAAGAGTATAACATGTTGCAGCAAGTGGCTTGTTTTACTAGGAGAAAGCAGCATATTACACACACACACACAGAAAAAAAAAATAAAACAAAACAAAACCCAGGGCTGATAAGATGGCTCTGGGTAAATTCCAAGCCTGATGACCTTAGTTCGACTCCTGGAACCACATGGTAGGAAGAGAGAATTATACATATACATGCCCAAAATAAAAAGTATAAATTTTAAAAAATGGTCTAGTGGCTTCTTATTAACAAGGCTCTAGCCTAACTATGTAGTATATACCAATAGATAAGTTATAAAATGTTAGAAATACAGTGAAAGGGGGGAAGTATGGCTTGCTGCAGGAGAACTTGGCAGTTATCCTGGTTAGGGTTTCTATTACTGTGAAGAGACACCATGACCACATCAACTCTTATAAAAGAAAAACATTTAATTGGGGTGGCTTACATTTTCAGAGGTTTAGTTAGTCCATTATCGTGGCAGGACAGGCCGCATGCAGACAGACATGGTGCTGCAGCTGAGAGTCCTACATTTTGATCAGCAGGCAACAGGTAATGAATTACTGAGATACTGGGTGTGGCATGAGCATATATGACATCTCAAAGCCCGCCTCCACAGTGACACACTTCCTCCAACAAGGTCATACCTATTCCAACAAAGCCAGACCCCCTAATAGTGCCACTCCCTATGAGCTTATGGGGGCTAATTACGTTCAAACTACCACAGCAGTGGTATGTAAAATAGTGTAGCTAAGCATGGTGTTTAAATTCTTGCCCACAAAAGGCTGAGTTAGGAATCTGTAGTGTTTGGAGTTAGCCTGAACTACATAATGAGTTCAAGACTAGCTTGGGGTATATAGCAAAATCCTGGCTCAAAAAAAACCAAAAGGAAAAATGTGTGGACTTCTTGGAAAGCTTAGGAGAGGAAGTGTCATAGAAACTAAAATCTAAATGGTGAGTGGGATTTTCTAGTTGAGCAAAGTTTGATGAATATGGTGAATAGAGAAGGAAACATTTAAAGGCTTAATTTACTGGATCATAGGATGTGACTGAAGAGGTGTAGCTGGGACCATTTTTTTTTTTTTTTTTTTTTTTTTTTTTTTTGGGACCACTTCTTGAAGGGAGGTATGGAAAGCTATGTTTTTAGTAGATGAGTGGTCTGCT